ATAACTCCCATCAGGGTTTAAACCAAGGGTGATTTCTTAAACTATGCAAGCCTCACAAATAATACATTGCCATCCAAGCTGCCGAAAAATGACACTAAGTGTAAGCTTGGTAATATTTTATTTTTTGTTGTTGAAAATCCCTAGAATCTTTTAAAATTTTATTTAAGCAGAAAAGAGAGATGCTGGTTCATTCCCCAAATGCCTGTGATGGTCAGGGCTGGGCCAGGCTGAAGCCAAGAATTGGGAACTCAGTCCAGCTCCCTGCTGTGGGTAATACAGATCTAAGCGTTCAAACCAGGATCGACATCAGCAGAAAGCTGGAAACGGCCACCAGAGCTGGAGTTCAAACCCAGGCACTCAGGTGTGGGATGCAGGTATCTAAACCATGATACTCACACCTAGAATATTCTTTAACCTTAACATGGCAGAGAAAAATAGTGGGTAAGGTATTGGGAAATTCACTTGGCAATCACCCATATGAGTTAAACCCACACTTAGAAATGAACACTAAAGAAAAAAAATGACACATCTATTTCTCTGTAGCCTGTGTCTGTCTCTGTTAGAGTCTCAGGCCAAATCAACACATTCATAATTGTGTATTTGTCTAGCAAAAATTGATTTTGGAATATAAAAGAATTTTTCCCCGTAACATGATCAAAGTTTTAAACCTCCTAAAATGGGAGCATTATACCTATAACAACTGCCAACTCTTTTACTGTGAACCTGTTTAAGATCAGGTCTGTGACTATTTAAAAGAAAAGTATCACAAAGAATCCCATTTTCGTGATATGTTTGCTTTCCAACACTTCCATAGAGTACATTTGAGTTGATCTTCCAACACTTTCATAAAGAGTGCAGTATTTATAGAGTATCAAAACTGTGCTTTCAGGCCTTTTAACATCAAGCTTACATTTGAAAAGGAATTTAAGTTGACATGATAAACCCACACGCAATTACAAAGAAATATTATGAAGACATATGTCCCTCTAAAATGCATTCATGTCCCACATAAGATTCTGAACTGTGTGCCACTGTATCACTTACCTCTATTGTCTTCTTTAAAAGAGAGATTAGGGTGTTTTCCCCCAGACACTCAGGAAAAGAAGCTGATTCTGAATTCAGCTGATAGAATCAGTACATTCAAGGAGATAGAGAGCTGCTAACTAGTTCTGTGCTACCATTGATAAAGTCGCCCATCTACAATCTTTTCTGTTTTCCTATTTAGTAAGTGGTATTTTTCCTAGTGGACATTGTATTTTATAAAATCACTTGAAAGGGCCAGCCCTGTGTGTTTGTCTCTTTCTCTCTGTGTCTTTTTGTCTTTCAAATGAATAAAATAAACAAAAATTTAAAAATCTAGTTATTAATAGTTCATAAAGCTCCTTTACCTTTCACCATAGCAAAGAGGAAGAGGTCAAGGGCACAGTACATACTATTCATTTTAAGTAAGCAAAGGTGCTATTATAATTTCTGAAAACAAAATCTTACGGTGAGGGGAGGAGTCTGTCCATATCGCACTGGTTGCTTTGGTGTTGGTATTTGAGGTTGAGATACTATTAGCTACTCTTGAAGTTTCCCTTGCAGTTGACCTTCATTTCTCATTGTTCACCAGGCACTGGACTAGACACTGGGGACACAAAGACAATAGACTCACCCCTTGCTCTTAAAATGCTTAGTCAGGGGCTGGCACAGTGGCTTAGTAGGTTAAACCTCTGCTTGCAGTGCCAGCATCCCTTATGGGCGCAAGTTTGTGTCCTGGCTGCTCCTCTTCCAATCCAGCTCCCTGCTAATGTGCTGGGAAAGCAGTGGAAGATGGCCCATGTGCTTGGGCCCCTGTACCCATGTGGGAGACCCAGAGGAAACACCTGGCTCCCGGATGTGGATCAGCTCAGCTTCACTCACTGGGACCATTAGGGGAATGAACCAGCAGATGGAAGACCTCTCTCTGTCTCTCCTTCTCTTTCTGTGACTATGCCTCTCAAATAAATAAATAAATCTTTTTTAAAAATTGCTTAGTCATAATCAGAGTTATTTTTTAAAACTGTGTGTGTATGAAAAGAAAACACATTTTTTCTTACCTATTAATTAATTTATTTAAAATATTCTCTTGAGGGAATAACCTCTTGGGATCAATGCTCAGGATTTTCAAATTTACTGTTCCTCTCCAATTTCTTCTCCAAGATTGCATCTGACTGAGTATGTAGGGATTTATTTGATATTATGAATTCTCCGTTTACTGGGGTCTCCTGGTTCAACACAAGTTGGCTGGGTTCACTGATGTGATTTCTTAACCAGGACATTATGAGGTTGCCACCCCTGAATGTCTGTGGCTGGGCTAGTTTGTGGCATTTTCAGGACCCAGTGTTATTTTTTAATAACTAAGCCTCATGTCAGCCCTCGCTAGCCCTGCCAGCTCTCTGAGGTCTGGCTTCAGAAGCCCAGCTGGCTCTCTTTGGTTTCATTGTGCTATGGCAGTACCTCTGTCAAATTCACCTGTTGAACTCTCAGGAACCTTCAAGAATAAGATGACCCAGTGAGTCCTAACCAGAGGTCTCTATCTACAACACCCCGACTCCAGTTTCTTTTTAGGAAACTGTATAAAGCAATTTCCTCCTAGAATTCCTAGCAGGAAATGGAGTTGACATTCGTGAGTTTTTGGCTTTCCCATTGCCTGCCTTACATGCCTCCCCTCTGGGTCTCAGCCCAAGAGAGTAGAGGCTGCACTTCTGAACACATATTCTTTCTACCTTTGTTTTCTTCCAGTTTTCCAAATCTATTGAGGTAGAAGGAGTTAGTTTCTACCTCCCTTCTCCCTTTACTTTTAATGTCTCCTGAATCATATTCTCCTAACTGTGGGCAGCATTCTACCCGACCCTATCTTCATGGTTAAAATATGGGAGAAGGCAAAAAGAGATATGGTGACCCTTGGTCCAGAGGTATTTTTATTTTTATTTATTTATTTTTAAAGTCAGAGTTATAGAGAGAGAAGAGACAGAGTGATCTTCCATTCACTGGTTCACTTTCCCAGGTGACCACAATGGCCAGGGCTGGGCCAGGCTGAACCCAGGAGCTAGGAGCTTCATCCAGGTCTCCCACATGGGTGGCAGGGGCCTAAACACGTGGGTCATCTTCAACTGCTCTTCCTACATCATTAGCAGGGAGATGGATTGGAAGTGGAGCAGCCAGGATATGAACCAGCACCCATATGGGATGCTGGCATCACAGGTTGCAGGTCTACCCCATATGCCACAACACTGCCTCCCCCCAAGCAGAGGTAATATTAGATGGTTATACTTACAACAAAAGCAAATCCTTCTTAGGCAGTTATTATTGGTCACATAGTAAAGAGAGTCTCATGATTTATTTGTCCCTGTTACAGTGGTTGGTTCCTTTATTGTTTTGAAATGGGATGCTAATCCAGATTTCACATGTGTGCTGGAATTTCTTACTATTCTATGTAATAGAACCAGCAGCCTTGCCAACACTTGTAGAAATACAGAACCTTGGTTTCAAAAAGATCCTCAACTCTGCTGAAAGTATATTAGCACGCTCACACTGCTATAGCCACCATACTTCCCTCACTGAAGGTATGACCACAAAAACCATACCAATCATTGGCATTCAGTAAACATGTATTAATCAGTTCTACATGTTAACCAGTGATGGTTTGTGCCCTGGGGTGCTTATGGTCCTAATCAAGGATCTTTATAATTATGGTAAAGTAATTAAAGTAAAACAGGAAATTTTTTATCTAGTCTCCTGATCACTAGGCCCACCTTACATTTTTCTGACAGATCTATTAAGATTAATTTAAAAGTTATTAAAAGTGGATGTTCATTTTCTCGGAAAGCAGCCACTTAATGTATAGAGACAGGAATAAGGTAGTAATAAAAGACTCAGCTGAGAAATTCAGATTCATACCTCAAGGTACTGCTTCATTAGTACTGATAGAGTCTTGCTGAGTTACAGTTTGACAGGAGGGCAGATCTTTTAGGGGGATGATTTTTGGGGGGCAGGACAAAGTCATAGTTTTTCATCCCTCACTTTGGTTTTCTGATCACAGTGTTTTAGAAGAATCTAGGCTTTACTTATGCACCAGGCTTTCAATAGAGAATCACATTAATCCTTTTAAGCTCCTTATTCTAATGATTTATTTTGTTGAAAACCATAGTGATCCTCCTTTGAATTTTAATGATTGCTGGCTATTCAAAGATTCATTGTTTTGACTTCCTGTCCTTACCTTTGTTTCCTACATGTCTGTGGGGAACACCTGTCTAATACTGGATCTGCCACTGGTTCTCAGTGGCTTACCAGAGTCACTCAAGCCTATCTGTGAGCGTTAGGCTGAAATGCAAGCTACTCATCCATGACAATAAGTGTAGGATATATGTTTGCGGAGATAGGCAGATAGACAGCGGAGGGACAGATAAGTGATTGAGTTATTTCCCACTGAAAATAATATTTTGGACCTGAAAGTATATTGTGATCATTTTAGAGAAATTAGTTAAATTAGTTCTCTTAAGGGTAAATCTTTTGGGATGACTATCTGTGGAAAATCTAGTAGATGCAAAAGGGGTTTGAATTTCCAGGGCTCTGCCATTATCCAGAATTCTGGACCACATGTCCTCCAAAAGCCACGGACCCTCCATTCCTCAATCTGTTAAATGGTAGTGCTCTGTTTCAAGGACGTATGGTTATCATTTTGTTCAATGGCTACTAATGGCCAGAAAGGGTTAGCAAATGGAAACAGTCGTGGCTTGTTTCAGTTCTGAGCATCCGAATTACACATTATGTTTTCAAAATCCGGGAAGTGACTGTTGTCACAGGCTCAAGTTCCTATTCTGCCCACTGTGGAAACCACACAGAGAATTGTTTTTTCCTTCTCTTTTCACAGGTATCACCTAGGAACATTATGGGTTTTCAAGAATATATTATTCTAATATGAGATTTTAACAACTACGTTGTATTTATGCATAATACATCTTATGCCTTATCTTCAGGCTTCTGGACTTTGATTCAGAACATCAGGAGCTCTGGGATTGGCTGATTGACATGGAGTCCCTGGTGATGGACAGCCACGACCTGATGATGTCAGAGGAGCAGCAGCAGCATCTTTACAAGGTTAGCGCTACCCTTCCTGCCTTTACCTTGCTGCGGAAGATCTGATTAGCCTGACAAGTCTGTCTCTCTCTCAGGATATCTTTGCGTTCATTGTATGTATCATGGTGTCTATTAGAATTCCCTCTCCTGTCCCCGAACTCATTTCCATCCCTCGTGTGCTGACAGGCTGCACCGACATCATAATTGCAAGAAAGTTCCCTTTATCACATTCTATTTGGTGTAATTCTATAGAAGGACAAAGATTTCTCTTCAAGATGAATAGCAATAAATGAAACTGCATTAATAAATAGACTGAAACAAAATGAAGGATAAATGGACTGGTAACATTGAACAAAGTGTGTTCTGATTGGAGCACTCAGGTGAATTCTGTCCACCTCTCAGATCTTCCCAGGGAAAAAAGAAATTTGCCTTTGGTTTGGCTTGTTGCTGCCAGGGCACAGGCCTTGTCCAATTTAATGTTTATTAGAGATACACAGAGCAGACGTTGTCATATTAAGTCGATACATTTGCGTGTGATTTAAGAAAACTGACTTGGAACTCACATATTGATTGCAGGCAATCCATCTGATAACCACCTATATTGTTTTCCATGTCTGCTAATTCACCCTTAGCCTGTGGTCTGTTACCAATTCTACACAAAAAAGTCCTACAAGTTCTTACAAAACAGCCATGTGATTTTGACGGAGACAACAGTTGCGAGATTCACAGTGCCTGAAAAAGCTGCTGGGGAGGGAAGAGGGACTTTCCGCTGAAATATCAGACTGCAGTAAATCTTCCTCATTTAGGCAATTTTTATTGGAGTAATTCTGACAGTTGTCATCCTTGAATTGCTTTGAGCATATGGCATATTTCAAAGAGCAGATTGTGAATCATAAAAAATAAAATTAATAACTAACCACAGAATCAGCAACAGTATAATGACAAGAAACAACTACCCTCTAGCTTTTTAAAATTTCTACAGAACAAGAAGTACATTCAAGGTCAAATAAAAGTTGTCTTCTTTCTTCTTCAATTTTATCATTTTGAGTTTACCTTTCTTTGATACATTACTTTAACTTTCGCTGCCTCTAAAGACAGATATTTGTACTTCTCAAGGGTCTGTCTGGTTGACTTTAATTAGTATCCCCTGGGAATTAGCTTAGTTAAGAGAAGATCTAAGTTCCCCAGGGACTCAGAAAATGGGGCTATTTTATTCTCTATAGAATTCCATCCAACATTAATCAAGTGTGTTGACTGTTAGCTGTTTCCTGTATGGATAGCTGTCCCCATTAACAACAAAGCTACCCAATATATCTTCTAACGTAAGGTATTGTTAGAGTAACAGTGTTTACCTAATATAGCTAAAGCTAGGTGATTTCACATGTCATGTCAGGATCAGGAATTACTTATGAAAAATGCCTCTCACTCCATACAAATGTGGAGGTTGGAAAATATTTTATTCCCGAGACTTCATCATTAAAATCTGAGCCAAACAGGGAAAATAAATGCAAAAGTTTACCTAATCATAAGCCATTATCTCAGACTTTATTGTGCTTATGATGCCAAATAACAGTTCTTTTCTTCTTAATGCATTTTTATATTTTGCACATAAGCCACTATTTTTTCAGAAACAGTGCTATTCTTTGTCAAAATCATATCCGTATAATTTACATCACAATTAATAGGAAATCATTGAACAAAAAGTGTAGTCTTCTTTTTCTTGTGATTTCCCTGTAAGCGCTTTGCCTGAGAATTCCCATTCTGGCGTAGTGAAGGCCATTATTCCGCCCACTCGGCACCTCTGGGTTATGGTATTTTTCCAGACATTTTTCCGTACTGTGCTTTTTCATTTGTGACTCATATCCTGTCACCATCCTTCTCCTTTTAGGTGCTCAACAAAGACCAGCTCTAACTTTGTATTTGGCTCATAAACAAAATTAAAGATTGAGTTAGAAGCCAAGGGCAAATGCTGCACGCTTGTAGCATCTTTCTTTATGTGACACCCTCTCCCCCCAGGTTATTCTAGGGGTGACAAAACCACCAAGACAATCCTGAGAATATTTACAAAGGAATCATTTAGAACTTGGGCGGCTTCTGCATTAGAAAACTGGATGGAGAAGCATTAATTTCAGGTTCTGCAAGACACTCTCCAGGGATTCTCAGATTAGGTCAAGATTTTCAGTATCCCATTCCTTTGTTCTAATCTGCTTTTTCATGAATCAACAGAACTGATACCTTGAGGGAGGGGCATTTGTAAACTACTGATCAAAGATACTCCTGAAGAAGTAAGGCTTTTCACCTATTCCTAAGGCCTTCATAGGCTTTAAATACCATTTGAAACTACATTAATCATCTTTTTGTTAAAGAAAAAAAGATTTATTTATTTTTTTATTTGAAAGGCAGAGTTACAGTGAGTGAAAGGGAGGGAGGAAGAGATCTTCCATCTGCTGGTTCACTCCCCAAATGGCTTCAATGGCTGGAGCTAACCCAGGCTGAAGCCAGGAGCTTCTTCTGGGTCTCCCACATGGGTGCAGGGGCCCAAGCACTTAGACAATCCTCTACTGCTTTCCCAGGCACATTAGCAGGGAGCCAGATCAGAAGTGGAGCAGCTGGAACATGAACCAGCACCCATATGTGATGCAAACGTTGCAGGCAACGGCTTAACCTGCAACGCCACAATGTTAGCCCTGACATTAATCATCTTAATCTTTATATCTGTTGGTTCCAAAAGATACCAGTGCTTTGTATTAAGGGTGCCACTGACATTTGGGACCGTTTTTGTCCTTGTACCGCAGAACATTTACTACTCATGTTCCTGGTCACTGTGACAACCCAACAGATGTCCAACACATTGCACAGTGTTTCCAGTCTGCCACGATTCATCTACAGCTTCTTCATGTATTAGAACACTTGCACACCATCAAGAAAAGTGCTTTGTGCTTGAATTCTGTACACTGCGAAGCACACACTTTACATAACTGATAATGAACTAAGAGTGAGGTATAACATTGAGGATGCAAATGAAGCTCATGCTACCTGTTATTTAGAGAAAAAATGAGGGTGAAATTTTAAGGGAGATCTTCAGCTGAGTGGTAGCAAATTCCCAGGAAACTCAGAAGCTTGTTCCTACTATCATAGCATTCAAAAACCTTTGTTCTCTCACTGGGTGGCTCTTTGTATGTCATCACTCAGCTCCTTGTCTATCGTGAATAGATAGATCCTAACCCCAGTTAGTGTATTTATGTAATCGTCAGTTGAAACCCAACATACACATTTGGAAATGTTGGGTTGGAGAAAATCTAGTAAGATGGTAGTTAGTGGGAGTGAAGCTTCGTTAGCATTTTCAACATTGGACATTACCTCTCTGACTTGTCTACTTTTATATTCTGGTCTCCGCTGAAACCAGCTGGCCTTCATTCCTAGTTACAGACCACAGATAAATACCATAGACCATCCATTCCGTTGCTCTCCAGAAGGGACTTGTGGTATTTTGGTTACCCAAAGCCAGTTAAATACACAAGGGCGTAAAAAAGGAAGAGAATTGGATTTAACAAAGAGGACATTCATATAACCTGACCTAATTTAGAAATGCTAACACTACTGTGAGCTATAAAGTGGGCTTCTGTTTAAAGCATTTCTTATTCTTTTCATATTGTTGTAAATTTTAAACCATTTTCTTTCTAATTAACTTCAAATTGCAGAGTCTTAAGAGTAACCCACTTCTTATGGAAAACTAACCATTCCCTTAGCTGCATGTTCTTCCTTGTACTGAGACAGCGACCACGCTGCCAACGTCTTCTCTTCCGCATCCCCGACTTGCCCTGCCTCTGATTAGGGCCCTCTGTACCTATTCTCTAATATACGTTGGCAGCATCACCAGCCTAGAAAACACAAGCATAGTCCTTCCTCGTTTTTTCTTGCTCCATCTGAGAATCACATCCAAGGAGAATTTGCTCGCGCTCTCTCTTTATTCCTCTTACCTTCCTAAGTAGGACAATTTAATTTGTCAAAAGTAACCACCGTGATTTTGAAAGTTCAGCTTCTATTTGGACTAGAGTTACAGAGTCAGAATTCATAATCGCAGGGAGCTGTCACTCTGCTGGTCTGCATGTGCATTAACTATTAATGGAGAAATATTTAAGAACCACTTGCAAAGGAAAAGCTCCATTTGTGTTTTCTAAAGATCAAAGGTGGCATTATTCTTGGGCTCAGGAAAGCTCTATCACCTCCTCCCCGTCCCATAAATTTTATAGACTGAATGACTGGGAAGCATTTCAAGACTGGAGAATTGTAGAGTTGCTGCTCAGGCTGCTGCTGTACTGCCCTGCAACACCCTCCCCCCTTGATTCGCCCCGCCCCCGTTGTCACAACGGACGTTGTAGGACTTTGAGCGCATACCTGCCTACCAGGAGCTCATACCCATGCACTGAGTACTGCTCATCCTGCAGAGCACAGATGACAGAGCTCCTAGGGATCCTAGGTTCTCATTGGGATGGGCTGGGGGATTTCTCTAGTCCAAGGTTCATTTCAAGGGCCAAATTCAGAGGTTGCAACCTTGTGATTATTGTTAAGATCGAATAGGAGTTGTTTTCAGATAATATAAAGCTCACTAAAACATCAGATTGATAGAATTGTTCTTGAGTCAATAGCTTAGCTGCTCCTCATCAGTAAAACATTAGATTCTATGATGGTGCACATTGTGGTTCAGCAGAGGAAGCTGCCTCCCTCAACACTGGTGTCCCGTGTCAGAGAGTGGGTTCCAGTTCTGGCTGGTCTGCATCCCATCCAGCTCCCTGCTAATGGTCCTGGGAAGGTAGTAGAAGATGACCCAAGTACTTGGGCCCCTGCCATGCGTGTCGGAGATGCAGATGGAGTTCCCAGATCCTGGTTTTGACTTGGCCTGACCCACCCCTGGCCTTTGTGGGCATTTGGAGAGTGAACCACAGGTTGAAGACCTCCCTCTCCCCTTCCTTCTCTCCCTCCTCCTCTCCTTCCCCCTCTCTTTTCCTTTCTGTCACTCT